TTATGGTCTGTAGCTTATGGTCTGTAGCTTATGGTCTGTAGCGTATTATCTGTAGCTGCCTGCTTGTTTTAGACCGAGATCCTCTGATGTAGAGAAATTGTGATTTTTTTTTTCAGTTTTATCTATTTTGGGTCAAATCTTAAAAGTAGTAATGCAAAATTTCTTCTAACCTTGTAAGATCTTGCTGTTACATGTGGAGTTCCACCCGATTCCATCCTTGGACCTCTTCTGTTTGATTGTGCATGCTCTCCTTCTGGCTTCAGTCTTAGAAAACAAGATGAATCCTTTAATGCAGGAACCCAAATAGGCACTTCTGATCGTTGTGATTTTGTTTATTGAATGTCTAAAAATGTTTGATAAAGTTGCTTTTTGTTTTTAGGGAGACAGAGGTTTACCTGGACCACCTGGACCTGCTGGGCCGCCTGGAATTGGTCTAATTGGTTCAAAGGTAATAATTTTCATATTTGTTTAAAACCGTTTCTTTAAAAAATGCTTTAAAGTTACCTTGAGAGAGATTTTTCTTTTTTTATTCTATGTTCCTGCAGGGTTCCGTTGGTCCGATGGGTCCACAGGGTCCTCCTGGGTTACCTGGAGAAGGTGTACAAGGACAAAAGGTGCAGCTGTCACCTGTAGTCTGCGTGGTTTCATTCTGAGCTGGAATTTTCAGTTATTGTTTAATGGTGTATAGAGTCTTCCCTAATTATTTCAGTATATATTACACTTTACCTGTTTTAACCATCAATAAGTCAAAACATTCAGCATAACCGTTTTATTTTTTGAGATATTTAACTTTATTTTTTCCCTCCTAAAAATGAACAGATAACTTCAAATCTTTAAGCTAGTGTTTTGCTGATTTTAGGCTTTAGCTATTATTTTGCTGCTTTTGGCTTTTTGGTAGTCTTTTACTAGTTTTAGCTGTTAAGTAGTATTTTAGCTAATTTTAGCTTTCAGCTATTGTTTTGTCAGTTTTAGCTTTTAGCTATTTCTGGTTTTGGCTTTAGTGTTTCACTGGTTTTAACTATTAGCCTTTAGCATCTTTGTCAGTTTTACATTTTACATACAGTGTTGCCGGTTTTAACTATGAGCTAGTGTTTTGATGACGTTAGCTTTTAGCTGCTGTGCTGTAGTGTTTAAGCTATTGGTTTTGCTAATTTTAGCCTTTAGCTACTGATGCTACATTTAACTTTGTTGCGATCCCTCTAACCTTCTTCCTCACATCTCTGAAGTTTTCAGAGTTTTTCAGTTTTTCATGAAGACTAACATAAAAACTGTTTGGACATTGTCAGGGGGAACCAGGATTTCAGGGGATCCCTGGATCCAGAGGTCCTCCAGGACAGGGTCTGCAGGGGGACAAGGTGATGAAACAAAATTAAGTGGAAGTGATTAATACAGAGACTTTGTGTGTTTTTATTATTATTATTTGTTCTTTTAACTAAAGATAAAACTGTTTTCTCTATAGGGAGACCGAGGACCGAGAGGAGAGAAAGGCAGGAAGGGAGATCTGGGACCACCTGGAGCACCAGGAGACTCTGGACCTGTGGTACTGTCTGGTTTATTTATGCTCTTCACTACAGAATGAGTTAACTTTATTTTAAAGCTGATTTGTTTTAAATTTCAGGGCCGAGCTGGACAGAAGGGAGAACCTGGACTCACAGTGAGTGAAAAAAACCAAAAACACCATAAAAACTGAACCTTCTGATCTGTAAAAATCTGTTTTCCACAGAGAGATGAGATCATCAGGATAATCACATCCATCTGCAGTAAGTTCAGTCTGAAGAGGATCATTGAACCATCTTCATCCTCCTGACCGGTCTTTGCTCCTCTTCGTCAGGTTGTGGGGTGAAGTGCAGCCAGACCCCCCTGGAGCTGGTGTTTGTGATCGACAGCTCCGAGAGCGTAGGCCCTGAGAACTTCAACGTGGTCAAAGACTTWGTGAACGCCGCAGTGGACCGGGTCTCTGTGGGCGGGGATGCTGCGCGAGTCGCCGTGGTCCTCTATAGCCACATCAACGCCGTGGTGGTCAGTCTGGAGCAGGAGGCCACCCAGGACGAGATCAGGTCCGCGGTGCGCTCCATGAGCTACCTGGGCGAGGGCACCTACACCGGCAGCGCCCTCCGGCAGGCCAATCGGGTGTTCGGGGCGGGCCGGGCGGGCGTCAGGAAGGTGGCCGTCGTCATCACGGACGGGCAGGCGGATCGCAGGGACTCGGTCAGTCTGGAGAGCGCCGTGGCGGAGGCTAAAGAAAACGAAATTGAGATGTTTGTGATCGGGGTGGTGAACGAGAGCGACCCGCAGTCCGAGGAGTTCAAAAAGGAGCTGAGCTTCATGGCCTCGGACCCCGACAAAGACCACATGTTCCTGATCGCAGACTTCCAAATCCTGCAAGGTGACAAACTGATGGCATCACTGCAGAATGTTTAGATCATCTGCTCCCAGTCAGTTTCTCATATATTGAACTAAAATTAAGTCTGAAAGTCATTCACATTTAGGGTTGCCAACTCTGCTCCTTCAAAATATGGGACAGCTCTGATGAGGGGCGGGGCTTGTATATTTATCCGTATATGTTTATAAAACAAATTATTCTAGTAAACTCTGACTTCTTGAGGAATCCTTCAGAGAAGCAGGTTTGTAATATCATAATAGACAAGTATTTAATCAGGCTCCCATATAAATGCAAAGAAGTGAGGATTAAAGTTGTCATGTTTGCTAAAAATAAGTATTTTTTCCTCTCAAGGAGTTGACTTTTTTAAATCTATTGATATATTTAAAGAGATCCATAATTAGTTGTAACGTTTTACTTTATTTGATAAACATTTGTTTTAACTGTAAAAATAAAGACTGTAAAATACTGTAGGCTGTTTAGTTTTGTAAATTTTTTAAAATATATTTTAAA